TCTGAAATTGAAATTTACCCTAGTTTAGAACACTTTCAGTAGCAATGTTTGAATGAAGAGAGAAGTGTGATAAAAGCCCATTATCTAATCAATTAAAGGCACATTTGTGCTGATTAATTTCTTACCTGCTCTGCCAGAAACTTCCAATGCCAGCACAGCTGTGCTGCAGAGCAGATGTCTCGAGGACTGAGGAAGGACATGATGTAGAGAGACAGAAAGCGGGGCAGCACAGCTGTGAAGTCCATTCGACTGATGGGGACCGATTCCGCCAAACAATCCCTGGTGAACCTAAAAGGGTAAAAAAATATGTATTGACTACAAATTCTTTGTCTGAGAAAGTGTCGTTCTTGTGTGTAAATCATGTAAGATCAGAAATTAGGATCTGAGAATTCACTTGAGCTGGGTTTTGGAGCATCTTTTCAGCAGCTGACAAATAAATTCTTTTCTTTGTCGGTCCATCCACAGGTCAAACCAATGGAGGATGAGAGCTGTTCTTTCCTGGAAAAGCTGCAAATGCATTTACTGAGATTATGTGGTTGTAAAAATAAACACACACACATGACATAGATGTAAAATAATAATAATAAAACTAAATAAAAAGTAATTACATAAAATAAAAAAATACATATATTTAAAAAAAACAATACTTTTTCTGACCTGTTGGTTGCATGCTTTATTTGTTACAGGCGTCCATGCACTGAATCTAGTTTCTGTGGCGTCGAACCGCGGTGCGTCTGACAGCGACTGTCTGTAGTCACTTCCATTCATCTGCCATTGATTATTAATATCCGGATTTCCGCGGGTTTTTGATTTATGATGGGTTCTAAATTCCACAGACGTCATAACAGTTAAACTGGTTTAAACAGTCCAAAACTAACACTGCCTTTCTCGATTTGTAGTTAAAATAACAAGCGGGGACACATTTGTTTCATTTGCAAATGCACTCTATTAAATGAATATGAATTTTACTCGAAAATAAGGTGTTCTGCTTGTTACCGGCTGGAGTTGAGTTCTAAACAACAAACCCCTAGCGCTCGTTTCCCTGGAGACCAAATAACAAATGAAGCTCTGCAAATTCCTTCACACGAGTCGTGTTTTTTTTCAGCAGCTCTTGTGATTTTGCTCGGAGACAATTGTTTTTACGTATTTATGTTAAAATACGTAAACTATATAAATACTGAAGTAATCTACGTAATTGAGAAATCAGATGTGGGGTAATACAACTTGAACTTTATTGACAGAAGCATGAATAAAAGGTTTAATCAACAATCAGCCAGTAGCCTATGTTACACTTTACATTTCAATTTAAAATAAAATATGTAAATATGACTATAACCTAAAATATACCATGTTACTTTACTTTCATTCTGCAGTATCAGGACACTGACATCTTGGATGAAAATAACCTGCCATTTTCTTTCTATTAATTCCCTTAAGACAGGACAGAAATAAATACAAACAGAGCCCATCAGTTCCTTGTTAAAGTGAATTAGTGAAAATGCAAAGGTGCTGCTATTGTACAACTCCAAGGCAACATTTAAGACATAAGATTTGATTAGAAGTCACAATGTCATCGAACATTACCTTATGAGCATATATTTCTTATGGTAACATATGATGTGATGAGAAGGACAAGTGAGCATTTCATCACGACTGTTTGGATTTGTTCTTTGATATCATATCTATAAAACTATAGACTGCAAACAAGCCAAGCTGACCAATTCTAAAAGTTTAAGATCCACAGTGTCACCGATATGACTGTAATACTGGTGTTTCTCCACAGCTTTTCTGTGCTAAATATGCACGCAGTATTCTCCATGGTAGAGCTTTTGCAGTTTATATGCTGGAAGTTCTGGGGACTTCTTGACTGTCAGCAAGGTTAAGCTTTTGTCTAAAGAATTATAGTTAAGGATAGTCATTCAAAGCATATGAGAAATCACTTGCTTTTGACAACTTATATGTATAAAATAATGATATGCATAACTAAAAAAAGTCTAAACAATTTTAAATGAATAGTTCACCCCAAAAATTAAAATTTGCTAAAAACGGACTCACCCTCGGGCCATTCAAGATGTAGATGAGTTTGTTTCTTTATTAGAACAGATTTGGCGACATTTAGCATTACATCGCTTGCTCACTAATGGATCTTCTGCAATGAATGGGTGCCGTCAGAATGAGAGTCCAAACAGCTGATAAAACATCACAATTCATCACAACTGTTAACATCTTGTGAATCAAAAAGATGCGTGTTTATAATAAATTAATTCATCAAGAGGTGTTTAACTTCAACCTGTTGCTTCTGATTAAAATACAAGTTATCTATCCATAAAACTACATTCACCAGTGGGAAAAAAAAATCTTGTCTGACTCAAGACCAGAAGCAACAGTGCAAAGTTAAAATGCCTCGATGAATTTGTTTCTTACAAACAAACAGCTTTTTTTCAGCTTCAAAACATGTTAATTGCTGAACTGGAGTCATGTGGATTACTTTTCACACTTTTTCACTGGAGGAAGTGTTATTATGGATTATGGACTTTTGGTCAAAAGCGGCGGCACCCATTCGCTGCAGAGGATCCATTGGGGAGCAAGTGATGTAATGCTAAATTTCTCCAAATCTGTTCCAATGAAGAAACAAAGTACATCTTGGATGGCCTGAAGGTGAGTAAATTTTTTAACAAATTTTCATTTTTGGGTGAACTATTTCTTTAACTTAACCCCTATAACATCATCCAGTTGAAAGTCATCAACATAATTGGTGAAACCATGAAAGGATACATTGAGGAGCTCAACTCTTCCAGCTAAAGGAAAAAAAGTGAACTTCATTGGATTGTCTGGATAATTACATGAAAGAACTCATAGATTTGTGGATTTGTGACTACATATTTAATATTGCTTTGCTTACATTTAATAACAGTTTATCCATGTTAGTGTCATAAGCGGACTTCCTCTGGTCTTCTGGCAGCTCATCCACTTCTCCATACAAGTCAAAATGCAGACGAGCCAGTGTTTCCTGCATTTCTCTCACATGCTCCATCTGATCAATGGAGCACTCATTGCCTGATTCAGAGAAGATTTTAATTTGAATCAAAACTGTAAACACACTTTAATGTAGCTGTACTGTACTGTAGGAGCTTACCAAAAGCTTGTAATTTTCCAGAGTGGAAGTCATTAAGAAGGCTGAGCAGCCCCTTCTCCATCTCCTGAACATCAGACACGTCTGTGAGAAATGAGTGCTGGATGTGGGCAGACTGGTTACTCTTACCCGACTGACTCTGAGGCCTCGGTTTGTCTCGCACTCCCCTAAAACAAAATAAATAAATGAACCAACATATGAAGATTGAAACATGAAACTGTAATTTTAATAACGTACACAGATTTAATATGATGATAGATGACGCTCACCTGCGATACTTTGCCCTCTGACTGGAGTGCGTGACCGTACCACCAACACCGAACGATCTGCTGCTGGATGTTGTCTTTCGTGCAGTGACTGGGAGAGGAGGCTGGTTGGAAGACGGTTTGGGGATTTTACGTTTCTTATTTTTTTCTTCCATTGTGTCATCCAAATTATCTACAGAATAAAATAATACGTATGAGCAGAGAAGCCTGAAAAGTTTAAATTTGAGTTCACAATAAAAAAAACAAACACATATTTGATAGTGGTGCCCCGCAAGCTCCAGTTTTGGTAACGTTACATAATCTATTGGTTCCCAACTTTTTAACCCCAAGATCCCCCATTTTCCAAGACAACATTTAAAAGCCCCTCATGCAGGCCAATATATTTCCAAACTTTTTATTACTAGTAACTAGGGGTGTTTACAGATTACAATAATGAACCACAATTCTCGAGAAGTTTCAAGTACTGTATGTTCTGCTATAAAAATTAGTAATTTTTTTTTAGACATTTTGACTTATTTTTTTAGCAGAGTATAGTATTGTCATGAAGTAAGATTTTGTAATATAATTATTAAATGATATAAATCTAAATAAATATAAATTTGAACTTTATTTTGTATCCCCCACGGAAGTTTGCTGAGGCCCCCTAGCGGGCCCCTGCCTCCGGTTGGAACCACTAATCCGCGATTACACTACAATGTCATGCGTTTTATTCATGATGAGCAGGCGACAAAATAATTCCCACTGGCAATCAAACTTCATATAAACGCTGTCCGGTGATATTAAACAGTGTTATCACGTTCATTAACAAGCGTTTCTAATCCTTTTACAGTAACACGCAACATGTAAATAATATGCGAGCGAGTCGAGGAGCGACGCTGAGTCGTGAGAAAACATGTCTCGTAATCATTAACGCAATGTAGCAACACATGCACAATTGTATCATACCTTTAATTTTACCGCACAAAGGAAGACTCCACTGTTTAGACTGAAATATTATCCCCTCTGAAAGACATTCTCGATGAGATTAGGCTGCTCTAAAGTTGGTACAGCTGACCAGCAAGTTTACAAAAGGCACTTCCGGGATTTACACGTCATCGTCGTGGTGCTATCAACACGCACTGTTCTGTTAGTAAACAGCTGTCGAAAACAGTTACAACGTACAAATATATATATATATGTATTTTTTTTTTATCAACAAACATTTTAGTTTAATCCAGTTTGAAATGGAAGTCTGACTGTTCTTTTGAAATATTGCATAACAAACCAGTTAGTTACAAAGAGCGACTTAAAGATTAAAAAGCCATTCGCTACAGTGGACCAATTTAATGTTATGTATTTTAAAAAGCATTACTTATAAATTACTAATGCAATACATTAATGACGCACCAGAAATAGACACGTCTCTTCCTATTTTATTTTTTATACAGGAAGTAGTAATAATCGTAGCGATTAGGCCAAAACATTTTTTCTTCTTTTGTTTATTGGATGATCTATTAAAATGGTAACTACCTAAACGCTTCACCCCATCCAACGGCTTTTCTAGTGTTGTTGATAATTATCTTTTCTATTTATGCTTCGCTTTGACGCATGCGCACCAAGTCACCTGTCATATGACCGCACATGCGCACCACTGTCATAATCTGTCTGAAGGAATTTCGGAAACAGTTTGGATCAGCGCGAACAATAAACACTTTCTAAAGACTTAAACCGATCGATTCCAGTCTTATCCGTGTGCTGTCCTGGAATCAACCTCAGTAAGTAGCGAGCGAATCGTTGTGCTCCGGCTTGCCTCCAGTATTTCAAAACAAAAGGATGTTAATGCGTTTCTACTTCCCCAAAGCGGAACTGAATACGAGACCAACTCGCCAACTTCTGTCTTAAATAATCAAACACAGTTAACCAGTAGCGTTTCACACCGTGAAACATCATGAGTAAACAGTAAGTACAAAAAAAAACCTGTCCGTAAGTAACGTTAGTGGTGTTGGGATCTTGGAGACTTGGGCTTTCCCACTTTCAAAGTACCGTACTAACTTTCTTTATTTACCTGGCAAAATTGTGCTCTGTCCTTCTGGCGTCGGGTGTAAACCGTGCATCTGGGAATCAGCAGCATTAAACATCATTGCTATGGGTTTATACTCTCTGATAAGATCGGATTGTCTTGTTTAAGAAACAAATATGGATGGTTTCCTGAATGTTGGTTCGGAGGATTTGTCAGATCTTCAAATGTAGAGGAGTCATGCTGTAGTTTGAATCCCATATGAACATAATGCAGCTCCAGATAGTGCTGTTTATATTCTGTCTGATGCAGAATACAGTGAAAATAGTGTGAGAGACATGACGTAATGACCTTACCTTGAGGAACCGGCTTTTGTTGACAAGCTTGTAGAGCTTAAGGCCACAGGAGGGGCGGCAAACTTGGACACCAGCAAGATGGCAGACATGACTGTGGAGGACATCACATTGAGAGCCAACCAAGTTACAGATGAGGTATGCTTGTCATCTATTACTATAACAAACTAATTTGTTTTGATGTGATTTTGCAAGTTCCTGTATACGTGCCCTCTCATTGTTTGTGACAGCAAAGTCTTTTTCTCTTTTACTCACAATTTTATTGCTCTATTTTTTAACCTTATCGTAGAGCTTAAGGCCACAGGAGGGGCGGCAAACTTGGACACCAGCAAGATGGCAGACATGACTGTGGAGGACATCACATTGAGAGCCAACCAAGTTACAGATGAGGTATGCTTGTCATCTATTACTATAACAAACTAATTTGTTTTGATGTGATTTTGCAAGTTCCTGTATATGTGCCCTCCCATTGTTTGTGACAGCAAAGTCTTTTTCTCTTTTACTCACAATTTTATTGCTCTATTTTTTAACCTTATAATACTTTTCTTGCACTAACAGTTTTAAGATTTTCCTCATGTCTTCTTATTGATTTTGCTATTTTCTGTGCTACTAAAATTGTCATAATAATAACATACTCCTTTCTTGCTTTGCTTATAACTTTGTTTCTTTCTCTCTTTCTCCTACTTGCTGCCTCTGAAGGGACTCACATGAGCCTGTGTGCTGTAATAAAGACTAATAGCATGAAGGGGACACTGTGCTCATGCACCACAGCATGGGTGACTGGGGGTAAACTAGAGATCCATGAAACCCCCACCCACTTTTTCATTCTGAAATTACGTGTTTTTTTTTTACTTTGATTTTACAATTAGTGTTTTAATTTCCTTAGAAATTATATAATTTCCCAGGTCAAAAGTGGATTAATAGCCATAGTTGGAAAAGTTTCATAAATTTTTTTCACAGCTATGCCTTACCATTGTGTTCCTGTGTACATCTTGTGTTCCATGCATGGTTTTGTAGCATTATCAAGGCTTTTCACATTTCGGACAATTTCTCTATTCATCCCCTGAAATGTTCAGTGTGCATTGTTTGAGTAGATGTTTGCACGCAGAACTCAAATTAATGTTCAACAGAATAGGTGCTGTGTCAAATTTCCGTAGTGATTTGACTACCTTTTGAATATGTGCGTTTTGTTTCTTTCAGTCACTTGAAAGCACTAGGCGGATGCTACAGATGGCAGAGGAGGTAAGATTTCCAATGAAGCCTGGAGGCTTGAGAAACACGTTACTGTTATTTGATGTACAGATTCAGAATGCCTAGAGCTATCTGCATTTGCTCATTTGAATTTGAGATATATATATCTTGATATAAGCATTTGTGTATTTTCAGAGCCGGGAGACAGGTGTCAAAACAATGACCATGCTGGATGAGCAGGGAGGTAAGTGACCGCTTCATTCCATTCCTCCTCATCCCTGAAACCTACTTTGTTACTCAACATTATATCGTTGCTATAATCTATAAAAGCTTTGTTTAGGAGATGCTGGCTCATTTTATTGTTGAAACCTGCTTCATTCTGTCTTGATAAGAGCAACTGAGGCGAGTCGATCAAGGAATGGACCAGATCAATCAGGACATGAGGCAGGCCGAGAGGAACCTTACTGATCTGTCCAAATGCTGTGGCTTGTGTGTGTGCCCATGTGACAGGTTCGCTATTATAACTCCACTTCTAAGCTCCTGGATTTAAAATAATCTCCATTATGTTGTATCGTGGAACACCAAATTCAGTAGGATTTTTGTGGGGGCTTCTCTTTGCATTTTATTGAAATGAAATGAATTGTCATGAGATCTTTCAGGAGTAAATGAGTATTAAAAACCTCTTTTCTTTTAGAGTGACGTCTATTGAGCATGATGGGAGATATAAGAAGACTTGGGGCAGAGGTAGTGACAACTCCAGCACGGAGGGAAAAGAGGGCGGCGTTGTATCCAGCCAACCCAATGCTGTTCGCAATGGACAGGCTGTTTCGAGTGGGTCAGGGGGCACATCTGGCCCCTACATTAAGAGGTGAGGGGAATTATAGCACTAAATAATAGGATTTCATCCAGTGTCAGACTTAAATCTTTTGATTTGAATCAATTGTTTAAAGCAAGTAAATGAAAACCGCATGTTAAGCTTCTTGTCCTGGAAATAGATTATGAAATCTGACATTAAAGCCACACTTTCTTCTCATTTCTGTGGTTTTACTGTACAAATATTTGTGGAGCCATGTTGCATGTTGGACACTGTTGCGATATCATTTGAATAAGCTTCCACTTTGTTGCATGCCAGTCAGTCAATATCAGATGCCAAAACGTGAACATTGGTCATTTTGCTTAATCAAATGGTGAATTCCTGTCAATGCAGGCAGTTCTTGACCTAGAATAAGCTACAGTCTTGTTCTCTGTTTTATAGCATTTAGCTATTATTAGGATATGCTGTCTTTGCCCTGCCACATCAAATATTTTTGGTGGCTGAAGCATCTGCAGTTTGACTCCACATGTATGTGGTAATTCTTTTATTTTAAGATCTTTACAGCTGGTTCATACTTCTGAATATTAATTTAGATTAGCAAAAAGTGCTTTTTACAAAATTATGTCTTGAGGTATATTCTGTGTATATACAGTTTGCTTTATTGATATTTCTGCTTTCCCAAAAGAGTAACAAATGATGCACGAGAAGATGAGATGGAGGAGAATCTGGATCAGGTGGGCAGCATCATCGGGAATCTCAAGAATTTGGCCGTGGATATGGGCAATGAGATTGACAAACAGAACAAAACCATTGACCGCATCACTGATAAGGTAAGTCTACACCGTCAAACAACTAGGCATCTAATAAAGTGGACCTGTGAAAATATTAATATTTATTTATTTAAATTAACATTATTGTTTTTAAACAATTTAATTAAGATATATAAATAAGATATATTTTATATATAAAAAAATATCTATATATTATTTTTCCCAGGCTGATATGAATAAAGCTCGCATTGATGAAGCCAACCAGCGAGCCAACAAACTTCTGTAGAGAATGGACACTGCTAGCATCACTCAGGAGCCTGATTGTTTGATCTCTCTCTCTCTCTCTCACACACACACACACACACACTTTCTGCTTCACAGCAATGAATTGCAGCAAGTGAGTTAAGTTCTTCCAGTGCCATCTGTGCCTTTTTTGCCATTCTGTTTGTACTATTGTAAATAGCTGGACACATGCACACACAGATCTATTCCAGAGCCACCTGTACAATCAAGTCTTCACCCTTAATATGTGAGACAAATATGCTGGATGCACCGAGTGCAGTTGTTTTTGCGGCTTTGCTCACTGCTGCCCTCTCAGTCTGTAATGGAAGGATTCTGATCTCTCGAGATGGTGATGGGTTTTGTCCGTCCCTCTCCCTGCACTTCAGTCAACATGGCTAATTGTTTCACTAATCTGAATGAAGGGCCAAAGACTTACGACAGAACTTTTAATGTTCTGGTTTGCTGCCCTTATAGCCGTTGATGTATGTTTGGGCTAATGATATAATGTTTTGTTTTAATGTTTCTGTTTAGATGTATCTTTGACTGATTATACTCCTATTTAATTATCTTAAGACATTAATGGGCCTTGTGAATCCAGTTAGTCCTGTTCAATGTTTGGGGGGAAATGTATGGTAGTGTCCTTTTTAATGGCATAATTTACCATGCTATATAGGAATAGGACATTTCAATGTATCTATTTTACTGCTAATAAAGCCAGTATAATTGTTCCTTGTTTTTTTCCGTTTAGTGTGTAGAAGTGACTTTACCAGTAGAGGGCGCTGCCACATTATTTTGTTATTTTATGGTGAAATGAAATATGGTTGATTTTGCAACAAGGTCTAACCTAGCAGATTTCTTTAGGCAATGCAACAAATTCATGTGAAAGGCTTGAACCTGATGCGAAATCTGCATGGAGAAAAATTTTGAACTCCTGAAATCCCAGATTATGTGGGTTTCTATTGGAATGACTGGAATTGACCACTTAATGGCAAGCTCTCACCAGTTATGAAAAAGATGCATCGTAACAGAAGTGTTTGGAATGGCAAAATTAAAAGAACCAATAATTTTGTGCTTGAATGCCTGCTAATATCTCTACTGCCTGAATTGCAAATATTATTCCTCATTATGTAGCAAGTAGAACAACTAGCCCATATAAGATAAGTATGTTTATAACAACATTATTTTCAACTTTTACAAAGACACTCTTTTAAAATAAATCTAATGTCTGTATGGTCTCTCAGCCTAGAGTGCTGAGGACTGTTTTCTGTTCATTCCAGCTTTCATCTTTTTCATGGATAGTTTTACTTGGACTGATTCTTGGGACTGAGTATTACATAGTAGCCTAGTTATTTGAAACATTTGAGGCCTCAAGAACTAGGACAGTGCCTTTGTTTCAACTCCCTTTGAGACTTTCTGTGTCTGCTGTTTAGGAGACTGCTGAGGAGGGTCCACATATGCTGTGAAGCCTGGAGGAACTGTCCTCAAGTTATCAGCCAGCCTTGTTTCCTGAGAGTCTGACAAATCTAATACCACATAGGATGTAACATAAAAACTAAATCTGAGGAAAAATTTCAGCATGCAGGCTACAGATAAAAGACAGAGGATTCCCTTCATCTCCCTGGTTTAGTTCCCCGTTGTGATGGCCTGAACTTTGGTTTGGCACTGACATCTTTTATCAGTTTTATCAGATCTTTTATCAGTTACAAAAATTAGAATCATGTCTGACATACCGATATTTTTAGTTGGTATAAAGCAGGGGTGCCCAAACTCGGTCCTGGAGGGCCGGTGTCCTGCAGAGTTTAGCTCCAACTTGCCTTAACACACCTGCTGGTAAGTTTCTAGTATGCCTTGATTAGCTGGTTCAGGTGTGTTTAATTGGGGTTGGAGCTAAACTCTGCAGGACCGAGTTTGGGCACCCCTGGTATAAAGGCTTGCTTTCTTTCCGTGAAATACAGCCAGGTAATTTGATGCTAAAAACATGATAGTTATTAGAAAGAAAACAGTTAAAAGGACAGCTCAGGATATTTTCTTATGTAGGCCTCTCTAATCACCCCCATTTGTGCCACCTTGCTTCCTGTTAAGAATGGTTGGCCACAAGAAGCAAAGGCAGGTGCAATACCTGCCATTATCTAATAATTTTAGATATGCAACTCTATGGCTTTAACCATTAGTTTATCAACGAAATACAAGTTCACACACAGAATTTTAAAGAACATACAACTTCAGAATCTGAGATCTCTGGTCTGGAGTAAATATCAGGGCCCGAGTTTAAGGCTAAAAGTTGCTCATAACTTGCCGAATTAGGAGAAAATCTTAAAAATAATGAGCATCAGTCCTAAATGTAAGACTCCTACATTTTTGATCTAAGAGTATTTCTCAAAGCGTTTTAGCCTAAAACTAGCTCCTAAATCTCTGAAACATTAGGAGTAGTGTCACTAAGACCAAGTCACAAATTATCCTAAAATGGCTGTTGCCGGTGTTGGTTTATCAACGAAATACAAGTTCACACACGCAATTTTAAAGAACATACAACTTCAGAATCTGAGATCTCTGGTCTGGAGTAAATATCAGGGCCCGAGTTTAAGGCTAAAAGTTGCTCATAACTTGCCGAATTAGGAGAAAATCTTAAAAATAATGAACATCAGTCCTAAATGTAAGACTCCTACATTTTTGATCTAAGAGTATTTCTCAAAGCGTTTTAGCCTAAAACTAGCTCCTAAATCTCTGAAACATTAGGAGTAGTGTCACTAAGACCAAGTCACAAATTATCCTAAAATGGCTGTTGCCGGTGTTCTGACAAATAATGCTACCTATCAGATTATGCTACCAACACTGTATTTATCCTACTGTAAGGGTAGGTGTACATGTTAATAAAGCCTCAAACCTTATTAATATCATGCTGGAAGCAAAATCTGATAGGTAGCACTTTTCGCTATCGAATTATGCTACCATTTGTTTTAATTCAGGGTAGCACAAATCGTCAGAACACCGGAACCGAAACATTTTAGAAACGTTTGACGATAATGGGCTTTTAAAAAGGTGTCGCCTTAATCGCGAGGGTATTATGACCGTTGTTTTCATTAACAAGTTCGGCAAGAAGTAACAGCTGTTCTTGCATCCAGTTTGGTTTTCTTTTACGTTTACATGCCTTACTATCAGCCATGATTATTCTACTCTGTTAATTAAAAGGCTGTTTATATGCATATCCACTAATTGTTTATGAGGAGCACACATAAGAGGCTGACAATTAACTGAACATATACTTGTTTAATTAGTGACACTTAGCCTGCATTTTAAAATCTTTATTTGAATGTGCATATTTTTTTATTTTTAAACCTTTATCTGAATATGGCAACATAATATCGCGCTCTACAATATTTCTATGAATAAATCTCTGACAGAGACCCCTCCCCTATTAGCCAATCACTGTGAGCATATTAAGTGAGCATGCTGACATCATCCATAGCAACGAGGTCAACCCTGCCCTCACTCTTAGCTTGCATCCAGTGGGGACATAATTATGGATTATAATGACTTATGCTGTCTTTTTATGCGTTGCACCGCGCCGTGTAAACATAAAACGATGTCTGACTGCATTTGTGATCGGAGAAATGACAAATAACAAGCGCTAGTCTACACTGCTCAAAACTCGCATTTGAATCGTCAGGGCAAATTCTTTATATATCAAAACATACTTACAGTCTGTGAGTCAGAACAGCCGGTATTGTAGTCTACTCTACCAGGATCAGGAAACAGTCCTCCATAAAATGTGCTGCACACATCTGAATATTTGGATTGAACTGTTCTGGAACAGTGTTGTAAATACAACTTAACCACCGATTTCTAGTCGTTTCCTCTTTTGGAAGACCAAACAAAGTAGTTTCGCTTTCACAACAAAACACAGCATCACACACGGCGGCCTAGAGTGAGCAGTGGCTGGCGGATTCGATGAAGGAGTATCCGGCGGGCTTGCGGCAACCACATGTGACGACCCCGGGCTGAACTCCGCTTCGTCCACGGTGAAAGCTGATCCGGTGATCCACAGCGCAAAGTTTATGTATTTCCTCAGCGACCAGCACGGATCAGCTCCAGGCATGATGAAGCGGATATCGTCCTCTTTTGGAAGGCCAAACAAAGTAGTTTCACTTTCACAACGAAACACAGCGTCACACACGGTGGAAGCTTTGTGAATAAGTTTTAAGAGAAAACGCTAGCTAAAAAACTTTTACCTCTATTTAGGAGAACTCTTAGTGGTAAGATAAAATGTTTTGTGAATACAGGCCCAGAGGTGGGATATGGTTAAGGGGTGGGCAAGTACCTTCAACAGCTCCTTCCTGACTACGTCACTATGAGAAGTTATGTAAATATGCTGTTTCTCCTTTTGTGTACCCACAACTCTCTCTGAGGGATTTTGTGATGCAAAGAGGAAACGTTAACATGTACAACTGAATGATCACAACACTCCGAACTCTGGAGTATCTTGAGAGTAAGTTCACAGATACACATACACTTACAGGAGCTAAAAAGAGTTAAATATTATAAAAGTAGCTAAATATTCTACTTTGTAGACAATCCTCACTTTTTGTTTTGCTGAAATTCTGCTGTGCATAGTTGCTTAGTAGTGTGACTTGAATCAAGTTGAACTGGTTGTTTGTTACTGAGCTAGGAACCATTAAGTTAGAGAAAAAGTTTGTTTTGAATAAACCATACCATGATATGCATTACATTCTATTATAATTTCTGATTGGCAGGCTAAGAATATATATATTTTTTAAATCTTTGTTTATATGCACATGTATCATCTTACATTTGACTTAGAGTTTAAAATCCCAGCAGAATCCCAGTTCCGCAGAATGGCAGACATGTCAGTGGAGGAGATGACAACTAAAGCCAACTGTGTAACAGATCAGGTAAGTTTGTTATTTGATTCCACAAGGATGTCTAAGATGAAGATTATGTGAATCCTTCTTGTTCTTTTATTAGTTGCTGTTTTCAAGTTCCTGTAAAATTCCCAGCTCATATGAAAGCAAAGTTCTTTCATTTCTGTAAACTGAAAGTAAAAATATTTATTTTTGCCCCATCTAGTTATTTTCAAATATGGTTTTGTGAGAAGTGTGGAAATAGTTTTGTACAACCATAGTTTATCAGAAGTATCAGTGTGCATTCACTCTTCATTCATCTGAAATATTTAACACATAGTTTTATTTTACAGTTCTTTGTCTCAGCAAGTACTGGTTAACATCTAGCAATCAGACTTTTTTCTTTTAGAATTGCAACAATTCTTATGACAGAATTGGGATAGATAAACTCAGAATTGCAAGAAAAAAGTCACAGTTACCTCATTTATATTCTTTATCACATGGTTTAAACAAGCTTCCATAAATATTTGATGTTAACGTTTGACTAACTGTCCTTTTATGTTTTTCAGTCACTTGAAAGCACTAGACGAATGGTACAAATGACAAATGACGTAAGAGATCTTATTTTAACCAGTTTAACCAATGACACATGAATATAGGCCTACTCCTTAAAAACACCATGAAGAAAACCTATGCCATAATTTATTTAAAATAGTTATTTCATATTATGTATACTTCAAATGTGTATATTTATTATTTATATATAAATACACACACATGCATGTATATATTTCAGGAAAATATGTTATGTTTGTATATTTATATATAATATGAATATAAATATATACATGTAAATACATGCAAGTATTTTCAAAATATATATGTGTATTTATATATACATATAAATATACACAGTACACACATATTATGTTAACAAAAACTTTTATTTTGGATGTGATTAATCGCAATTAATCGTTTGACAGCACTAATATATATATATATATATATATATATATGTGTGTGTGTGTGTGTATATATATACTTTTAGATGCTTTGAGTTGAACTTGAAGCATGTGTATTTTTGCAGAGTTTGAACGTTGGGGTCAAAACAATGACTATGCTAGATGAGCAGGGAGGTGAGTCCTTTATCTCAATGCTCCTGATTTCTGATGTCTAACTCAATATCCCACAATTTGGAGGCCTGTTAACACGCTATAGTTAGCCATGAAGTCTCTCTTAGCTGCAGTCACATTTGCCATTGCTTGGCAAAATTTCATGTCATTTCTGCAAAATTGGGAGTTTAATGTGAAGGTGACAAATTTACAAGCATAGATTTCAACCTGGCTTCAGGTTGGTCATGCGAATTTGCTGCGTTGACCAACAGAAAGCTGCTTGATCTCTGTGTGAGAGATATATAGGCCTAATATACAGTGTTGGGAAGGTTTCTTTGGAAATGTAATAGGTAACAGATTACAAGTTGCCCTATTTAAAATGTAACGTAGTGTAACTATTTCAATTACTTTATTAATGTAACTAATTACATTTGATTACTTTTTGATTACTTTTCTAAATTTCCAATGTTTTCAACTGTTAATCATTTTCAAACATGTAAACCAGGCTTTTTGCACCTTACAGTAGGGGTCTGCGGGGGACAATTTTTTTAGTCCCACTCCCGCAAGGTTATATTCAGCACCCACCCGCTCCCGCTATATATTCACTCTTTGTTCACCCGCTGTCCGCTTAGAATAATTGTCTTCCCGACCCGACCGTTCCGCTAAATTTAGATCTCGTTTCCAGAATCTCACATTTAAATTTCCTCTACTGGAAGAAAGAGAGATAGGCTAACAAATAAAAGTGTAGTCTGCACAAAATAAAAACAACAAAAAAAAAACATTTGCAATCAAGATAAAAAAGCCAGAGGTGAATGTAAACCAGATTTGTCCCAGACTCTGTTGCCATCTGTGAAGCCAAGCATAAGAATAGCCTACTAATGTCAATTTGTTAACCCACAGTAACACATTTGAACAGATTAATCGCATATTTTCGTTTGCTGCATGCTTTTAAAAACACAATAACATTTTTTTTAGGAAAAAACAAAAAGATACGTCTTGTATAAGTTG